ACACACACACACACACACACATACACACACACATACACACACATACACACACATACACACACATACACACACACACACACACACACTGACGTCCGTGTTCCTGCAGCGAAACTCACCCGAGTTCAGCAAGGCCAACAAAATGGGGTATATCGCGCTTCTCATATTATTTTGCGGATGGATGCATTCCAACTAGATTCTACTTCCCCGCAAGATAACACCACGAAAAAAAATCACAGCGTCCAAATCCAACAGAACACATATGCACTTTTTCTCTCCCACGAATAATTGTATGGTGCTACAAACTACAAGATGATGTAGAGGTCAGCTGACCTGTAGCCTATCCTACATACCGTGACGTGACGTTGAAGAGAAGCGTTTGCTGTTTAAATATTTCAGAGCTCCGCCAACTAGTTTGATATCAGCGGCAAACAGGAGAGAGTTGGAGAGAGAGAGAGAGAGAGAGAGAGAGAGAGAGAGAGAGAGAGAGAGAGAGAGAGAGAGAGAGAGAGAGAGGGAGATGGGGGGGGAGAGAATAATATTGCTTTGAGTTCGCCGTGCGACCTTACTATCATAGTCCTATAAAGACAAAGGGGAATCAGCGAACGTAGGCAGGGAGGTCGCAACTGAATCTAGGAAAACTATACAAAATTGACGAGACCAGAATTACTTAAACTTGATGCAATTGAGAGTGACCACGTTTTCGTTAATGAAAGGGTAGAAGCTACAATTTTGGCACAATTTGATGGAATTTCATAAAATCAAATATGTTTGATTTTCTTTCTCACCGTTTGACAATAATACGATATTTTACTTTTCATTTGGATTGCTTTGATTTTCTTACATCTTAGAATTGTACGTAAAGTTAATTAGGCCACTAGTAAGTTGTGCTACTTATTTACTCGAGAGATAATGTAACGGGAACCTATTAGGCCAGAAAAGATCAGCCACTGGTGCCGAGAGCACCATCTTAGACAGGTATTGGCAGGTGTGTCCAAGTCGCAGGGCGAAATAAACGAGTCCGAAGTCCGAGTATCTGGCGGGCCAAAGCAGGAGAAACATTGGGTGAAATCAATTGGACTAACCAAGCTCTCAAAGAGTGAGACTAAAACTCGCACCATAGCATAAGTCCCTCAAATGCATTTAGATAAATAAATATTAAATATATGGCTTTCAGCTTGGGCGGAAGCTATTGATGTTAATTTTCAGGATGGGCAGTTTCATTTTTCTTTTGTTAATATAGGCCCATGAACTCACCACGTTCCTCATTCATCATGAATTACCAAGTTGACTTGTGGGCCAAACTAAAACGGCTCACAAACCATCTGAATCGCGGGCGTAGTTTGGCAATGCCTGATGTAAGCATTTTGAAAGAGACTACAATACTACAAGTTTACATGTATTAATATAATTGGAATCTGGTTAAACAACACACAAACAGAAAAATGACAGATTGTAAACAAAGTAATAAAACGAGACAAATGACAAGTGAGAATAAATCTATTTATGTCCCTCTCCCTTTGATACTCCTGTAAATGTAGATTATCTGGTAAATGACTTGTAATACTTATTATAAAAATAATTCAGACCGAAGAATCTCCGAATTTGTTGACAATAACTGGGAACATTCAGTGTGTTTTGATTGGTTAAAAAAATACTTTAAGAAATAAAGGATAAAAACAGAAAAAACACAAAAAACATAAACAACAAAGAGACAGGGCTCATATATTTTAAAAAATCAAACAAAGGTTAATCTTTCATTTTCAAATTATGTATATTATTTTATTTTCTATGCTTGATAACTTTCCAAATATTCGTTTTATGAACTAACAGAAGTCTCGTGTGTTGTCACGAAAGAGTTGGTAGGCCATAGGTCTAGTACAAAATGTCGCGTTTTTTAAAACAGTATTGAGGTATTGAATCGGTTCGCCAGCTACCCAGTTTCCGACAACTGGCACGTTATTTATGTACTCGAACTCTATGATACGTATAGTTTCATTCTTTGTTATCCACAGATTCGAACTGCATTCAATACATTTTTGTTTGCAGATCATTTTTGTATACAGATAAGATGTTATTGGTCTCTTACGTCAACACACACACACACACACACACACACACACACACACACACACACACACACACACACACACACACAACCACCACCACCACCACCACCACCATCTTCTCTCTCCGTCGCCCACCCACCGAGCAAAGCGATTGTTTGGCTATGTGTTATATCCAAGTAATGACGTCATCACTCTTTGCGCTCCAGTCTTTTCATTTCCTGTGGCTATTCCCTCGTCGCATCTCGCAATCTCCCCGCGGGAATTTGATCGTATAGGGATATTCTCTACTCTCTGCAAGCGTCCATTGTTCCAACTGGAGGGGGGTGGTGGGCTTACTTAGACTGTATATTATTATTTGTGGGAGGGGG